TTAATGCATGATCACATCACCATCCGGCCCAAAAATCATCGGTTATCAACTCAGTTGTTAACAGAGCCGTAAAACTATCTCGGCCCGAGTAACCAAAAACAGAATTAAAACACCTTACCGCTGCTCTTCTCTCAAATAATTTCCATATTAAAGATATTAAGCGTTCCATCTAAAAATACACTTCACTACAATGAGGCCGAAAGCAATCCTACACTTGCCACTGTGGTCCTTCCTTACATTCAAAACATCACTGACCACATATCAAAAGTATAACGTCAACACCAGATTTACCATTTGCCCAAAAATCTCTCAACATCTTCTGTCCGTCAAAGACAAAAATTCCATTTGAGATGCCAGGAGTTTACAAGACTGTGTTTATGTCCCTTATTTAGCTCCGCCCACTTCAAACAATATATAAGCAAGTACTGAGCAAAATACGAGCCAGTTTCAATTAAGCTCTGAAGAAGCCAATAGGATAATCGGCGAAACGTAAGCAAGTTTCACTCAACAATAACCGACGCAGGAAGAATCCAGAAGTTTTGTAAAAATTATTACAGTAGCCTGTGGAAGTTTCTTAAAAAAAATAAATTAGTTCTTAACCGTGTCACGCAGAAACCCAATCCTTTTAGTTTTTCGAAGAGATGATCGTTTCAATCGCGCGATTCTATTTGAGGGAATTTTCTAATAAACCGCGCACAATCATTAATTCTTTAATAAACCAATTCAATGCGCTTTCCTACCGCTGGTAACCTTAAAGCGGTACACGTAATGGTTCTTTCAGCGCAAGGATAATACGTCCGATTTTAATTTTATATATATTCCATCCTGTAATAATTAATCACATGGAAGTCAACAATGAACGCGTATAAATCTAAACAGTTTAAAAAGTCGTTAAGTGAACGTATAAAACGAGAATAATTGAAAATAAAAGTGAACGTAACGTTCCAACGGTTCCGATGCTCATCACATTTTATCATCAAGCGAATTAAAGCGGATGGATCCGTGACCATATTCATACCAATGGCGTATATAAGGTTTCTTATTTTCCACGGCCAATTGGCGATGTCAAAGTCGCGGAAATGATTGAGGAGAGGCCGCGACAGGTACCTTGCGGTACGCCCAACGTCCGCTATCGAAATTATTCGGTAACGATGTAACCTTAGAAACCGAGAAGTCTTCGTTTAATAACAATTTCTCCGCCTATGGCGATTTATATAAATAAATATAGTGTAACCTAATCAAATACCGAGTCAAGGTAATTCTTTACCAATTAAAAGTTATTTGCTTAATGCGAAGCCGCGGATAAAATACGGATGTTATCATAATAAAGTGTGTTAAAATGTTTGCTGGCAATTTTCCATTTCAACGTTCACTTTATTTTAGTTCAATGTAGAATGAAGAATTGCAATTTAAATTACAAAAAGTAAATAAATCACCCAAAAAAATTACATCTCGGAGAAAGTTCTACCAATCAGTTTCATCCCTCTAAAATCCTGACGGAACATTTCCCATGTTCCTCGCTCGGGCCTCTAAGGTTTTCTCGAAAACAATTTATATAGAAAAGCAAGACATGCACATACTTTTCAAACTGTTAATAACTTCTCGAAAACTTCTACCTTCTTCCTATCTTCTGCGCTTTTACTGTAGCCCAGAAAATACTATGTAATGGGGTGAACTGCTCTCTAAACGTTTTTTCCTTTTGCATTTTGAACCAGGTTGTTGCATAGTCTTCAGGCAATACCCTCATTTCAACCGAATAAATTAGTGGGCTTCCTCCACCTTCGGGCATTGGATGCTTGCAAATTCGTGCGGAAGACATTTATAGGCAAAATAAACAACGTTCGTGGGAAGAAGCAAAACTATCAAATAGGGACAACAGATAAGCAAAGCAATGTGATTTCAACTTTTCGATCCAAGAACCTTTGTTTATACATTAGCATAATTAAAAATATAATAATATTAAATAAAGTTGACCACCAACATAGAACTAGAAAAACATGCATTCGAATACCATTTAAGTATAAAGCTATAGGCCAGAAGAATTTAGGATATTTAGCTCTTAATGTAATACCGGATTTCGAATAAACAAAATTCATTAAGCAAAGACTACAACTCTGACTACTAATACCTATATTTTTTACTAATATATTCTGATCTTATATGCTCTGCGTGCGATTTTATAACGGCTGTGCCATTCACCAGACACTAGTCACTTCACTTCAGTGAATTTTTCTCGCCCATGTGTCAATGGGATCATTAAATTCAAGATTCTCTGAATATTCTCATACCAAGATATAACTTTCATGATCCTATTCGAAAGTCTGAAAATTTAACTTAATAATTATAATAATAATGAATGATTCATTATATAAATCGATGTGTCTTCTAAAATCGGATTTCAACAAACACGGATATAGTACTAGATAGTTTCAAATAAAATTGCTAGAGGGCGCAATTTTTGTTTTGTTACGAAAATTAGAGCTGACGAATGCCAAAATAGCGTCAGTAATTAAAATTCATCGAACAGATCTATTACTAAAACTTTTTAAATAAGAAGTCACTATTAATGGTAATAATAATTTTTCTTTTCTGTGGATTAGTATCAAGCAATTATTACAAGTCTAGACAAGTCAGCGCATATAGAATAAACATCCAACAATTAGCGTGTTTTTTAATATTAGTGTGTGCCTTGTGCAGTGAACGTTGCAGTTCGTAAAATATGGAATTTCCGAAGATTTAGAGGAGGCTATGGATTAGATCGTGATGGATGAAGACAATAACAATGAAAGTCATAAGTGTTATTGAGATTTACGTATTCTTATGTATTGTAGCATTCCATTCCTTGTAAATTTATGCTAAAAATTGATATATTGAATGAAATATTGACTCGGTCTATATTCCACCCGACGTGGATACCTTGACTGAGGAAGAAGATATGAACGATAACATAAATCTACAAGACTTTAGGGAAGCAACTGATATAGTTGGAACTTTCGAGTTATATACACCGAATGATACAGCTGTCCTTCAACAGCCCTGTAATTCATCAACTACTGAACCTGAATGGGACTCGTCAGATGATGAAAACCTGGAATTCAAAAGAAGACGTATGCTTTCTGCAAACGACAGGCTTGCTTCTACTGTCAAATGGAAGAAAGATCAGATTGAGTACACTCACACATCTATATTGGATGAATTTCTGGAAAAACTCCGCTTGAAATATTTTTCATGTTTTTTGATGACGAAGTGCTTGATGTGATTTTAAATCTCACATTGCTTTGCGACTTTTAAAAACTGATAAAACAATTACTGAAAGGTCACGTCATGATTGTTCATGCTAATAAAACCCGAAAGAGATGTAGAATTTGCCACAACAACCCAATTTACGTTTGTAATAAGTGTAATGTGCATTTTCATGCTTTGTAAAATATCACCTGGTGTTACCAGTGGTGCGTTCATGCACCATAAAATATTATGCAATCTACTTTTAGTTGTTTTCGGTCGAATTTGAACATTCTTTTGTATATTTATGTATAAATTATATGTTAGATCTTATGTGCCCGAAAACATTATTTAATGTTTTTTCCCAGTGGTTCGTTTACGCACCAGTATTTTTTTGTATGTTTCGAATTTTTATTTTATTTTTTAACACGTAGTGTATTCTTAAGTGCAACAAAATAAATAATTTCAGAACAAAAAAGTAGGTACAATACCAATGGGTATTGAATCTTTAAAGATAGGCCCACCCTGTACACTCTTATTCCCTCCATACTTTCAAAATAACAGCTTTTCATTCCGATCGACTTTTCTTTTGGTTGTCAACGGGTGCGTTCTACTTGCCAGCAGGAATATCATCACATTTCAGAATCGTTTATTGATATATTCAAAGCGTCCTGCCAAATCGAGAGGAGAGCGTTTCACCAATTTCGAGTGGAATATTTTGAAATCAAACAAAACGCGTATCCCGATGTTTGTTGAAAATTTGAATGACAATAAATCCGAATGTCGGCACGACGCGAACCCGTACAAATATTTTTCGAACGAAACGCGTATTAGACTCGCGAGTATCGAACAGGTGTTAAATATAAGTTCTAATTTCGTGGTTTATTGTGCAGGTCAACTCTAGACGTCAATCAGGTACGCTGAACAAGTGCTAAGTGAACAGTTGCGACTGTTTGATCGTTACAAACAACAAATATTTGTACAGTTAAGAACTTTATCTCGAAGAACAGTGTTAAAGTCACCCGTAGCGTGGGTTTTCTTGCCGTTCTAAAATCGTAGAATATACTGTGGGGTCAAGAATTTCCCGTACACAGCTTATTGAATTGATAAGGTAATGTATTCGTAAGTGTAGGTGTATAGGGCGCTTCCAAATCGCTAATGCAGTATGCAATACTATAATGTTAGGCAATAAAACCCAGCCAAGAAAATCCGGTCTAATGATACGAAGAAATTCGCAATCGTCTTCAGAAAATGAGAAACCACTCAGATAAATATTTAACGAGATTGATATGAAATTGAGAGAGATATCGAGAGGTTAGGTATAACTGACACCAAAAAGGCGAACTATTTATAATTTTTGTTCCATTGCAAGCAAAATGGTATTGCTAAACTACCAGGTATTCACGAACACTGTTGAACTCTCTAAAAAATTGTCTAAAGGGATTAAAAAGTATAATTAGCTTGCTATGCAATTTTTCATTTATACCTTAGTTACGATGCTGTACTTGGGGAAAACTCCTTAAAAGTGATTCATGTTTTTCGGTCGCAGAAAAAAGTTTTGTGTGTACTATAGAGTATGCAGAAGTTGGTTTGTTCAATTTGGTATCAAGATATTAACGATATCAGGATACATCTTCAAAATTACAGATATAGACAAGATCCACCGAACTAGTACAGGTACAAGCCGCCAATAGAAAGTTAAAGGAGTCGATAAAATTGCGATAAAAAGACTATTTTAAAAATATTGCAAAACTACTTTTGTGTTTTATTAATGTTCTGTTTATTTGAGTTTTAATACAAAAATTAGAACCATAGAAGCTACTTCCTTCGGCCTTTGCACATTGGTCCATAAAGGTCAAGTCTTTCATTGGGTTCGGTTCGAAATGGAAATACAGACTCGAGCTGCGAATAACAGTCGGATTTTAAAATTTCAAAATCAATCAACATATCACAAAATTGATAACCAGTTTCACTATATGAAAAAAGTATAAGCAGAAAGGGCAAACTGAATTTATAAGTTGAGCTATCTTATTTTTGTTGTATAAGTTAAGGTTCTGTGTGTACCTTGCATAACTCGACACAAAAGTAATGATTTAATACAAAATTATGTTTAAAAGGCGACTACCACTGGATAAGGACCAACTTAAACAGCAGTTTCCATAAAAAATTCCTAAAATTAAGATATTAAACTGCACAAAAGCCAAATGACAAAACGGATTTTTAAAATGGCAACTAAAATTTCATAATTACAATAACCGCCAAAGAACACTTGGAATTGTTGCGAGGTTTTTGATTTCTTTTCTTCTGTCTGTAAAATAGCTTTTCTCTACTGTACAATTTTTTGATACAAACCAATTGTTCTCACAACACATAAATTTTAATGCTATGGGGCTTATATTTATACAGAATGTTATTTGTGAGATCCTCTCCATTTTTGTGTAATGGTACTATTTTCAAAGAATTTTCGGAATCGTTGGATTGAACCATATAGCTACTAGACATTAGAGGCCCTGCCTATTCTAATGGTACAGGAACTCATGAAGCAACTATTTAACAAAACTTTGAGGTCTGTTCAATATGCGCATGCGTGAGATTTGAAATTTCGTTTTTAAGCGTTGTTAAAGAAAATAGACAGGTGCAGAGTTAATCCAATGCTGAATTACAGCACACGGATCCTTGATCTTTACTATAATTCTGTAAGTATTTTAGCGTTTTGGTTCTTTAAGCGATATAGACACGATACAAGCTAATTTTTCCAGAATTTGTGCCCGTAAATCGACGCAAACAGTTTGTTTTTACAAACTTATTTGGTTTAACCTGTATTGAAAATGCACATAAGGTAGAATTTAGGAAATGTGACTGTAAAAGGGTAAATATAACTTTGAGGTACTAGGTACTAGATATCGCACTGTAAACATCTAAGTGGAAAAAACGTTCAACAAACACCTCGTATATGCAAAACGCTCATTCTTTGATTGCAAGTCTAGTAATGGCAGAAAGTTTCACGTCCTAAATATATATAATTATGAAAAGTATAGTACCAATGGACAATTTCGTCAAAAAACTGTAGGTATTGGAAAATGTATCCAAACACATTGAAAACTAGTATAAAACAAGTCAATAAACAATTACCCATAGATGTAACCGAATTAACATTACCAAATCCTAAAAAGTGTCGTTTATTATCTCAAAATTTAAAAAAAAACATTTTGCTAACAAAAATTGCATGGTGCATTGTGTCTACCGGGCTTTAGATACTAGTATCAACAATTTAGCTATATTTTATTGCAATTTGGGTTCAAATGTAATTAACCAAAAATTACTTTTCCAGAAATACTCGGGAGATCTTAAAAGTGCAAGCTGAAAGGAAGATTAAGAAATATTTTTTCCAGATGCACACTCCGGACTGGTTTTGTAGACAACATCGTGGTTTGTGTCACAACTACGACAATAATAAATTAAATAAAAAATATGTGCTGCATTTTTTAATAGCATAATAATATTTATTTTTTATTTGCACAATGGCATCCGACATAAGATGCTTCAGTTTTGCTTTTTCAAAGGAACTTTTATATTACTTGAATTGAGAGGATCACCACCTTAAAAATTGCAAAAAACAAGATGAAAGCAATAAAAAAATGTTCATTTATAATACATTAAAATATTGTTAATTATTAATAGAATAACTACAGCAAAAATTTCATTAACTGTAAATCCTAAACAAAATTTAAATCAGAAGCACCTGTTGGCAATATGTTACTATGCCCTAAATTCTTCACAAAAACTGGTTATTATGTGCCAGGCTTCCCTATAATTTGTAATATTGTTTTGACTACCAATGAAATTTAAAGATCTGATGGTGTCTGCTCTAGTTCCACCCAGGAAAGAAATTAGTGTTTTTACGTATTGGAAATAAAGCCCAAAAACGCCCCCCTACCAACAACAATTTCTCTTTATGTTCAAAATGGAGAATTTTTCACTTACAGAAAAAAATAAAAATATTTTATGCCGAAAAATAGTTGGTAACGTATTACCAACAAAATAATATTTTTGAGGAATGCGGTATTATTTGATAAATTTTATTAGTCAGGTTAGAAAAAAAAAACTATCATTTGGCACTCTAAATATGGGCTGTTATGTACCATTGGCAAACAGAATGACCAGAAAACAAGTAACCCGATTTACAACTGATCACAATACTGCACTCCGAACTTTATCAAGAATTTTCCACCTCTTCTATAGCTTAAAGGAGTGTGACCCCACATATGCATGCTCTTCTAAAGCTATCAGTCTCCCTGGCAGCTCCATTCTTCGCAAGGAATGTTATCCATTGTTTCCTTACAATTTGTTCTTCTGATAAACTAAAAAATAAAATGTAAATTGAATGAGAGTATCTGGATAAATGAATATTATATTAAAAATAAGAAACAGACAAATATGCGAGTTTACAAAAAAAAATGGGATAGAGAACATGGATCAGTCCCAGAACTTGTCCAAAAACTTGTTCTACTAAGTAGTTATTGACACAGAGGAGGTAGGTGATACTTACGACTCAAGGACATAGCTTAATCTCTAGCCAAGCAAGGGTTGGCAAAAATGTCGGAGACTAATCAATTTCTCTTCTTCCCAAGTTGTGCATATAATATATTTCCTACTCAAGTTGTCCCAAATCCAACAAGCAGATTTACAAAATCAGTATTTATTGATAGAACTGTTTCTATTTAATCAGTGTCAAATTGTGAGTGTAGATACTGCAGTATTCAACTTACCTCGCTAAGGAGGTGGGTGAGCTACAAAGATTTCCTGTTTAAATTCTTCCTGTTGCAACTGAACTGTTTCTGGTAATTCCCCACTTTCTAAAGGCAATTTCGTTTTTACTAGGCGTGATGACAAACAAAAACTTCCTGACATTTAGAATTGACAATTTATTGAGATTATTCTAGTACAACATGCAGCTTAATTGTTTTATTATATTTCCTCTAATTCTTGTACACTAAAACATATTACCCAAACATATTTCCTATGTAGCTATTTAAGTGTACCTTGCAGTTTGTTAAATCACTCGGGTGTGTCTAAGATCCTATTAGGTCCTCATATTTGCCACACTTGTATTTCCGTGAAGGAGCAAGCATTGAAAGCACAAATGATATAAGTTTGTGAGTGGCAGTCCCATAGTGGCACTTTTAAATATAAGGTTGTTCGGAAAGTCATTTCGTTTTTTCCCGTCAGAGGACTTAATTACGTTTTTTCGAAACCAACTTCACACTTAAGCCGCATAACCATTATATGTCTTGAGAGTTGATATTGCAAGGCTTGTGTGTGAAAAAGTTCTATTAATTCTACGCAGTAGTTTTTGGTTGGTGCCCTTTTAAATATGGAGAGCAATAAGCAGCATTTTGGTCATATTTTACTTTTTTACTTCAGAAAAGGTAAAAATGCTGTCCAAGCGAGAAAAAAATTGACGGATGTGTATGGAGAAGGCGTGTTAACAGTACGCCAGTGCCAGAACTGGTTTGCAAAATTTCGATCCGGCAATTTTGATGTCGAAGATGCACCACGGTCTGGAAGGCCGGTCGAAGCTGACAAAGATGCGATAAAGGCATTAGTTGATGCAAATCGGCGAATAACCACACGAGAGATCGGTTTTTGAAGCGGATTATTACTGGGGATGAAAAATGGGTTGTATACATCAATGTTAAATGCAAGAGGTCATGGAGCAGAAAAGATGAACCGGCTCAAAGCGTGTCAAAAGCCAACATTCACCAAAAAAAGGTGATGCTCTCCGTTTGGTGGGATGTCAAAGGAATCGTTTTTTTTTGAGCTTTTGCCGGACAATACAACGATTAATTCAGAAGTCTATTGTCATCAACTGGACAAATTGAATGATTCAACAGGAAGGGTGTAGTGTTCCACCAGGATAATGCGAGACCTCACACAAGTTTGGTCACTCGCTAAAAACTTTTACAGCTTGAATGGGACGTACTGCAACATTCACCATATTCTCCAGATCTGGCGCCTTCCGACTACTATTTGTTCCGGTCCCTGCAAAATTTTTTGGATGGCAAAACCTTTACCTCAAGTGAAGATGTCAAAAAACACCTGAACCAGTTTTTTGCCAGCAAGGACCAAAACTTTTATGAGAGGGGAATTATGTTACTGCCAGAAAGATGGCAAAAGGTGTTGGACCAGAATGGCCAATATATAATTTAATAAAATATTTATTCATTATACGAAAACTGTCTTTCATGTTCCCCAAAAAAAACGAAATGACTTTCCGAACAACCATATTTTAAATTAACTTGTACATAAGGCAACACTTACCCGTATATAGTTTTGACCACAAACACAACAAGTTTTTCACAAAAACACGAAAAAGGTACGGAGAGAATCATTACCACCAAAAATATAAACAACAATGCCGCGGACTGTTATTTCCCGGTAATAGCAATTCCTAGCTAGGCGTTGCCAATTATATTCGGATTTCAGAAAGCATTCTTATGAAAATTAGTGAATTTTTTCAGAAAAATTACGCCAATGTGACAACTCAGTTAGTTGGGGGGTGACGCATGCGCAAATGATCCACACCTTCGCTACGAAAATATCATAGCCACCTGCGGCGCATCATTTTTTACCGCGGTAGGGCCACTATATTATCTTAGCATCGCTGTATACCTAAGAAACTCACAGTACAGAATAGCAACTATAATAGATAAATAATAAATTTGAAAAATTTACAAACACACCCCAAAGAATATATAAAGGGCAACATTACCAAAAGCGAATTTCCTTATGACCAGTTTCGATGGCTCAAAATTACCTATTTCATATACAAACCGATTTGGAAAACGAAATAGACTCTTGTCACTACGGACAAGGAGCAAATGAATATTATAAAGCCTGGAAGCAAAAATTAGGTTTAATTCTTGTGCCGCAACGGTGAGAAAATGCGTTAAAATCTGAACAAGACAATTTTCATAAATTCGAACAACGACCAATTCGCCAATGGTCATGAAACATGAGCGGCCTCTAGCGGAAAATAATCGAAACTCGACGGCAGCGAATCGACGTCAATTAGTTTGACATACACGCGAAACTTTAGTCGTCGTTATCGCGAAGCTGCGAAGGAAAAAAAAAGCGGCAAATTAAGACGACCAGAGTTTCTCCCCTGAATTATGAACGATTGTCGTTGCACGGCGTCGTATAAAGAATAATCTGCGGAGGAATTACGGGACACCTGTTAGGCAACATTGTTTAATATTTCAACATTAACCGGGACTGCGAAGTACTTACAACTGATTTAATTACATAGTAAATTTCTAAACGCGGTAAAAATACGCGAGATTCTTCCATACGCGCAGATCTGAAACACGATAAGATTCAAAAGGTACGTGTGTGTGTGCGCGCGCGTGGGTTGACCATAATTTATTCTAAATAATTACGTTTGAGCATTCGAGATGTTTGTTTACTTATTATTAAGCGTCCCTGTGGTTCCGTTAAAAGCTAGCGTTTGAACGCCGTGTTCTGCTTTTGACTATTAATAATAAAAAACGATTTTATAACTGCTTTTCGAAAAACTCGGAGCACTACGATTTCCGGACCTCCAGGTGGCACGTTTAAAAGTACGCAATAGCTGCATTTGTGCACCATGTGAAGTATATCCGGATAAAGTATGCAACAGAACAGAGGAAATGAGTGGAAAGACCAAGACGCAATGAAAAGAAAACTAAAATAGTACATTATGCAACAAGTGTGGTAAATGGCATTTGAATCACGAGTATAATTGGCACGAGCGGAGGGCACCGAAGCGAGGAACTCGGGAATCAAAACTGCAGCAGGAAAATGACACTTTCCGCACACTAGATCGGTGTATCTAGTGTGTATGTTACAGAAGGGAATAGAAAAAATAAATTTTAGATTATTGTTGTTTTTTGAATCATTCCTATTCGAAAATAAAATAAATTAATGAGTATATACTAGAACAGCAGCACGCGGTTTCATCCAGCCTACCTCCCACCCCTTTCCGTTCAGTATTTGCCTACAGGTTCCAGTTCCAATCAAAATGAACAGTCGCAATCAACTAAGACGAAAAATTACCTTTGCAAAATGATTTTCATTACTAAGTTAACCCAAATGTGCGTACTTGTTGATATAACTATCCCGAGAAAGAGAAAATTTCAGTGCCCAGAACTATATTTGATTGTCAAAATATTCGGCCAAAAGACATTTTTGAATTTGCAGCCCAACATCCACACCATTTTGAAAACGTTTCATTATTGGAAGTTGCATAAATTATTTTTAACGTAATGCCCAGTATCCACGGCTGTATGGTATCTCAAAAAAGCTAAACTAAATGATATGAAGAAGCTCATTATCAATATAACCATTCCAATTAGATTTTAGTCTGCATTTTTTGAAAATCTCTGGATATTAAAGTTCTGAACGTAATACCATCACATAACCACATTAAATATGCCCACTTGTTGACATAACAACCGTAAAATGATTTTCCAATGTCAGTATCCACAGCTATATGGAATTTCAGAAAAATTAAACTAAATTATTTTCTCTATCGTATTTATTAACATAACCATCCAAAAAAGGTTCTGCAATGTAAGACCTACGCCTTTTTATATTACAAATTAATCCTACGTAAATCCCAGTGCATTCAACCTCAAAAAAAGAAAAAAATATACGAAATCACTCATTTATCTTAAAGCCATCCCAAAGAGATTTTTGAGTGTATTGCTCAACATCCACACTTTTTTGTTCGCGATGTTGAGAGATTTTTAAACAATGGTCAATCTGGTTTGGTATTTCTTTAGAATTTTTGACATGTGTTAAAAAAGTCGACCAGACAAGCATTTTTCAATTAAGGTGAGAATGTTTGGTCCGAGATTCTCGGTTTTAATATAACTGAAATTATGTTGAGAGTTTCAGGAATAGGAACTTTGGTAAAGAGGGATTCTACATCGAAACTAACTAGAATATGTTGTGTATCTAATGTAATGCTTTTTAATTGTTCAATGAAGTTAACGGAATTAAGTACGAAACTATCAGTTTTGCCGGTAAAGGGTTTTAATAAAGAATCTAGATATTTTGATTGCATCCTGATTTGTGAATTTTGTAGAGACGAGGAATTTTAGACTCTTGAGGGGTGATAGACTTTTTCACGGAGCCTATAACCCAAATGCAATTTTGCAATGTTAAATTTTACGTTAAGTCCGCCCTATTTAAAAAGAAATAATTAAACGAATTAAACGTTACTCATGTATTAGAATTGCAAATTTTTACTTTACCGTTATCATATGCAACGAGTCCAAGCCCTTTTGCTAAGGGATTTCCCGCGAAGTCGCTTTGTGTAGATTTACACAAAATAAGTTAGTGAAACATCCAAGGTTTTTATCACAAATGTTGTTTACCGACAAGGCATGTTTTTCTTGCAACTCATAAACTTCGATCAAAATCATGTATGGGCCGATAATAATCCTCACGCCGTAATTGAAAACCATTTTCAAGAGCAATTTTTTGAACGTGTATTACCTGAACTTTTGGAGAATGTCCTGCTGGAGCAAAGATTAGTTTAGTAGCACGTTAGTATTTAGGTAAAAATTATATTGATCGCTGGATTGAGCTGGACCACATTTTTGGCCACCCAGGTCACCTGGTTTAAATCCAATAGATTTTTTTCTCTGGGGACACTTAAAAACATTAGTGTCCAAAGTGAGGAATCGGATAGAAGACCCTTGTACAGTTATTAGGAACACCCCTGGTATTTTAGAAAGGGTTCGCCAGTCCCCAAGGCCTAAGGCGTACAAACGCATGTATCGCAGTCGGGAGAGGTCATTTCCAGCAGTAGCTCTAATTTATTTTTTCTGCTCGAGTATTGTTTGTAAAGA